TCCCTACAAATGCTGGAAAAAATTATCAGTGAGAATCATCATTCTTAGTGTTTCTTTTATTTGTACAAGCTGGCTGGTAAGATGAGAATTAAGGTATGCATTATTAGCTATTTAAATGTTTGTGGTAAGTGCTACTGTTTACTACCTATCAGTAAATTACATGAATATTTTGCTTTAGTGATCAGCATTTGTCTGGGTCAGTGGTCATTGCAATGATGGCATTGGCTATTTTGTTCTATATTAAGAAAATTCCACTTAGAATCAGGTTCACAAATCCTTACCTCCAGACACCATAAAAGTGAATAAACCATACTGCCCTGGGGTGAAGAAATGAATCTGATGATTGATTTTATTTAAAGCAGTTGGTATTTTTTTGCATGTAGTAGTACAAGTATTCACAAGTGCTTTTCACACGACATTTGTGAGTTGTGTGTGCAAAGAAGAGATGGGTGTTTCAGATAGGATTTCAGCTTGTTGACTGTAAAGGATTTACAAGGGCACACACTATTACTACATACCACAGACAAGAAGCAAGCCAAAATGTCTCTCTGCATGTAAGCATGCTTAGGTGCAATATTGTGGGTAACAGGGAACAGATGTTTTACAGTGTAGGCTTAATGTTCAGTTTTGTTGAGTTATTTTTGGTAAAAGTTTCTTTCATGATTGTTGCCTTTTGTACAACCCAGCTGCAAGAAAGTGAGCAAATGCTGGAAGTGTGACAGCAGTATATCTTTTATGTGAAATATCTTGTACAGCTTAATGTGCAATAAAAGAAAGTTATATCTGTCTTCAGTGTAAAGTTTCTGGCATTCAAGCCTGTATGTACAAGTGGGGGAAAGAAACCTTTCTGTTTTTCAATATTGAGTGAAAGGAGACTAATAAGAAAACGATCCTTATTAAGATGTTGCAAGACCATGTTATCACCTTCAAATATTTCCTACAAAAGTGGTTCAAATTAATAAACAATGAAGGCACATTCCTTAACATACAGTACGTGCTATTTATCTTTCTACACCACAACACACTGCTACAACTGTATTAAAACTTATTGAAGCATTAATACATGCTGTTCTCAGACACATACACTGGAATCTCATATAGTAAGTAGAAAGCGGACTATAATAGCAATTTAAAAAAAAAAAACCCTGTATTGCAACAGTACTTCCAGATATGAAGGTTTTCTTTTACAGACCTGAATAGATAGTCTTTTACTTGCACTAAATATCTGTGTAAGACTAAAAATTCCCAAATGTTCAGAACATCTAGCTCAGTTGTCTTCTATAATATTTACTGTTCAGCGAAGCTCTTACCCTGACTGAAACATTATACAAATTGCTTAGAATTTCGTCCTGTCCTTCCTTCCCTTTAACCCAGATGTCCCGTGTGCCTTGTCACATGCAAGAATAAAGATTCAGTTATAGCAACTATCAGCCCAGAAAACCACGTTCAAACATCTGATGAGATAAAAGCAGCATGCCCACTGATCTCTGACACAGCACTATTTCAGTCAGAAAGCAGAAAAAAAACCCCTGTATGATGATGTAGCATCTTTCAGCCATGGATTTCACAACTTAAGTCTCTACTACACATTGTAGTTTCACACTTGATACAGTATTTTGCCAGTATACTTCCTTCTCAGTGGAAAGATCTCCTTGGTAAAGAATTAGTAACGACTTTCTTGTGTTTTTTGTAATGCTCTTGACATATTTCACTAAGGGGTTAAATAAGTTATCAAAAGACTTTAAATTAGCTGGAATATTTCAGTATAAAGTTGTTTTACTGCTATAAGAGTGAATCTAAGAGGAATATTACAGAAATAATTTTAAAACTTTGGAGGAACAAAACTGCAATAACTTCACAGAAAATAGCTGTATTGCTGAAATAGATGTTACTGGTATATTCAATTATCTCACAGCCTCTTCTTTAGCTGGGCCAAAATTATACTAGGTGTAACTCCATTGATTTGATTTGAAGTCAGTACCGCTACTGCTGGGATAAATTTCGTACTTCTTACCAATTTTAAGGATGAATCATAGGGGCTCCAAGCAAGTTACTAATGTACCAGCTGTGATTAGTAGTATTGACTACCTGAAACTGCAGTCCATAGTAATAGAATTTTGCCTCAAAAGTAGAATTAATCACATTCAAGGATTATTTTAAAGTGTTGGATATGAAATCTAGTAAGAATTCTTTGATACTATAACATTATGAAGTTTTTCTTGTACTGAACCTAGGGGGCCCAGTGCAACCCCAAGGAATGCAATCACAAAGCCAGGAGCCATTGCAGCCACAGCGCATGTACCCTCCTGGGCAGTCAGCAAAGCCCTCAACTTCCCAGCCACAGCGTCCACCTGGACCTACAACTCAGCAACCGCGTCCCCAGGCTCAAGGTCCTTCCAGCACCAGATTAGCAAAGGAAGCAGAGCCACAGCCGCAGCCACAGCCTCAGCCTGCTCAACAGCCTGCTCCACAGCCAGCTCCACAGCCTGCTCCACAACAGAAGCCTCAGTCTCACCCACAACTTAAGTAAGATTTGCTTTATCCATTTTCTTTTCTCCTCATAACACAGATTTTGTTGTCATAAGTGTAATTTGGGAGTTGGTCTAATATTCAGAAAAATGTGTACGTATGTTCCCAAGTCTAAAATGAGGTTAAAACATTTCAAAAAGCTTATTCTCTGTTTATGATTAGTAAGACAGTACCATTAGTTATATCCTAAGCACTACACAAAACTTCATTTATTAGTTGTACAATTTCTGCCCCAACTAGGTCTGAAAACTCATCATCTTTCTCGTATTTTTCTCCTTTTTATTGTCACTGACTCATGGTCTGGGTGTGCTGTAAGCCTACACAGGAGAGGAAGTCTTATCTATTTAAACTTTTAACCTTGCAGTCACTCAGACAACAGATTCCAGTTTCAAAAGGCCTATCTCAGAAACAATCCAAATGAACATGCTAGACAGTGGCTGCCAAACTGCGTTTCTTTACAGCCACACTTTGCTCATGGTTACACACTGCTACTGGCTGTACAGCACAAGCAATTCACACAGGCCCCTTCCAGAGAAGACTGCAGGACTCGCACAGAAAACTGCCTGAGGTTCTCTCACTACTGGAAGATTCCTTAATGCACAGCGTGCTAGTGTTGCTGTATCTAGCCAGCTGCGTGCTACAGTAAAGAATATGGAAAGGATCCATAGCTATGTCCTCTCTCACAGCTCAAACGCAGTGAACAGAAAATACAGGGAAGGGAATGGCAATGATTTGCTGTCTTTCAACATAGCAATCCTGACACACGCTATTGCCGGTAGAGTCACAGACACATTCTACTTATTTTGGTAAGCACAAAGACTGGCATGTAGTCTTTGTTTTATCCAAGTAACACAGATCCCCTTTTTCCACGCACTCATATGCTAATACTAGTGTGAACCAATTCTGAGTTCTCACCTGAGCACAATTCAGTGGAAAAGATGTGTTAGGTGACAATATGCAAAGATGACAATATTTTCCTTGCCTTCTTAAGACAGTATATTTCTTTATTCTATTTTATAATCATAAAATTCAAATTAATTCATCCATTATTTAAGTATATGTAGAGAACAGGGAGGTCGGGTTTCCTAAGCAAGATGGAAACGAGTTTATAGTTTGAAACTTAACTTGTGAACTTCTGACGTTTAAGAAAAACGGTTAAGAACAGGCACAGAAGAACTGTACCACATACTGTTTCCCAGCTTTCTCCTTTTCCTTTAGTTCCTTGTTCAAATCTAGTTTCATTTTTCTCTTCTTCAAATGGAAGAGAATAGTCCCTATTTAAAAATAAAATAAAAAAGGAGAAATTAAAAATTTTAAGATACAAGCGTAATAAGAGTAGTTTTTCTAACTTTCAGGAAGCAGTTTTAGGTCCACACCAAGACTCAGATCTCCTGCCTGTAGGATTAACTCCATCTATTTGCATGTGTATGCTTTGTATTCACCCACATGCTGTTGCCTAACCTGTATGTACATGTTATTAATCTGTGAATAAATATTTAATTAGGCTACTTATTGTGTTACTAATCAAGTCAAGTGCTGCTTCCCACCCTCCCTCTTTCAGTGAGTACAAACAAACATTTATCAGTCTATTCTCATTAACACAACTATAATTTATGAAAAACCTAAAACGCCCGGAGCACTGTTTGCTGTACATTATTAGTTTAGAGGTAGAGGAGTTGCAAACCATGAAGAGTATAAGACAATCTGAATAAGAAAAGTGTTTCAGTTTTACTATAGCCAAAACTGAAATCCTGTTATTGTACTGAGATAAAAATGAAATCAGTTAACTAGTTTTACTAATGCATGGATATCTTTGTAAAAAGATCATAACTCATTAATGTTTTCTGTTTAAATTCAAGCCTACTTTTTAAATATTATTTTATCTGACAAGTCATGAGATAAAGTTTTAAACTTCAGACATTTTCCATTTTGTATGTTATTTTATTCACGCTTACAGAGACTTATACCGTAGTTACATGATAGCACTAAAAACAGAATAGCATTGCTAGACTAACTGCTTATAGACAAGAAAAATTATATCTCATTTGGGGATTTTTTTAAAGCTATAAAGTATCATTAAGCCTCCATTAAGGATCAAATGTCCAATACATATACAGAGAGAGAGCACATGACAACTTTAGGATTCATTCTTCAAACTCTTGCTAATATACCAAATTTTTCTTTGTGCGTAACTGTTTGCAGCTTTAATGAACACAATGATTAATCATCCTGTGTTGGGTGGTGATTTAGATTTAGCAGGCAGGCCCACTTTTTCCTTAAGTTCTAATTTACATCATCCAATTTCCTGGAATACAATCTTTCAGATCTGTAAAAAAAACAGTGTGTTGGCTAAAGAAAAAGATTATCCTACTTCTCAAATCAAAGTACAGAAGGAATGTGCTATATTGCAGCAGCTCTGTATGCTACATCTAACTATATTGCTTGTGTTGAATGCCCATTTTGTTCACATGCAAACTGTCTATATCTCATGGACATTTTTCCTTTTCTCATAATTTATACAAGTTATATGTGGATGGAAGCTGGTAGACAATATGACCATACAAAACATGTTGCATTTTTGTCTTGCAGCAAGTCGCAGTCTTTGACAAATGCCTTCAGTTTCACAGAATCATCCTTCTTCCGGTCATCTGTGAATGAAGATGAAGCAAAAGCTGAAACTATTCGAAACTTGAGGAAGTCCTTTGCTAGTCTTTTTTCTGATTAGCCAGCTTCATCTAAATGCACCTAGCATATAGTCTGAAAACTATGTGAATGTTATATAGGTTTTGTTTTCCCTGTGACAGTACCCTTCTCTACTGTGCTATCTGTTGTATTAAGCAATATGTTAAACTTACAAAAAAAAAAGAAATAGAAGAAGGACTTTGATGAGATACCATTCAGGAACATGTATAAAAATCTGTAAAGAAGGAAGGGTTCTATTACTAACACAGAATGCCGAATTCTAAGGTCCTTATCCATTGTAATATTGTGGCCTTACTGTGACTGGACTATATAATCCTATTTGAGACTCCTTTGTAGAATTGTGTTAATAAAGCATTGAGTAATGGGTTTCTCCTTGCTTTACCCATTTCCAATGCATTGCAATGCATGTGTATTTTGTGTGTAAATGTTTTGTACTGCAAAAGTATAGTCTTGACTTGTTCTTGCCTCCCAAATTTAGGAGGCAATTCACACTGACATTCTTGTCAAGCCACATAAATAACGTGAGAAATTGAAGCAGTTTCTTCCTCCTTATACAATCTTTCCATCAGCTGGTTGTAGACTTCTGATGTATTGCTGAGAGTTATCAGTACACTAACTTAATGTCATAAATAGAGTGTATATGTACTACTGTATCTCCATATGTCTATTTAAATTTATTTCCAAATTGTAACCATAACTGGGTTTAGTTGCAAAGAATATGCATGATGTTACCTTATTTTTGTGAACGCCTTCTAATAAATGTAAAGTCCCATGCCTGATTTAAAAAAATGTCTTCTACAAAGCTTGTTTCAACATCAATATATATTGTCTATTTTGACTGATATCAAAAGGGTAGCTTTATGATTGTAAAATAATTGGACACAACCACAACTGTAAGAAAATAAACTATCACAAATAATTCCCTTTTTGAATCAGGATCATGAAAAATTATAAATTCTAGGAGTCACATTTACATTTTCTAGTAAGTTATGTATTTTAAAAATATTTCTCTAACTTGCAAAAACGGAATTGATCCCTGACTTTGAGGTAATAGCAGCATTTTTTTAAAAATTATCTAAATCAAACTGAAGTTCATTAGTAATCTCTAGACTACCCATTTCCAAATGATTATCATGTCGTTCTGCCTATCATGAATTACATGCCGCAGTATTCCTTGCCAGGAAACAGTGCTAACAGGGGAAACAAGAAAAAATACCTGTAATATTAGCATGTCTGAGGGAGAAAACGAGCAACACAACGTTAACTTAAAAACCCTATGGGATTTGTAATGGGTTTGTAGAGACACATCTATTTGCTTCAGAAATTTTACTTCTTGTAAATCTGATTGATAGTTTATGACGTCTAGGTAAATCACAATCACCATTTGATGACATAAGCCCTTTCAGCAGTTTTGGATTCCTTTGGGTGAAGAACCTGGCTTGGGCCAGGAGGTTGGCAATGAAGTATGGAAACTTTAATCTCCAGTGATGCCAGAATTCAGTTTGCACATTAGCATCTGATAGCTCTCTGTTTGTCAACATAGTCTAAGTTGATGATCTTAGCATATATATTTCCTGAAAAGCAGACATGTCCAAATCACTCACAAGCAACACAACTGACACCCTTTTTGGACTGACAGTGAGGACTGACTCAATATCGTAGTTGAACAGTCATGCCTAGAACGATGCTTTCCTCTAGATTAAGACGAAAATGAATTTATGGGTAAGTTTGCACTGCAACATTACAAATGTTAAATACATAGCATTGCCCTCTATAGGATGGAATCTCAGTCTCCCTGTTTGGCATATAACCCTCATCTTTGTGGAACAGCCCTCAGAGAAGCCCTCTTAGTGAATTAATGACAATTCTCTTTTCTTTGAGGAGGAATGTATTGTGTACAAAAGCCTGTAGTTTAGACGATGAATTCTGTGGCAAAACAGAATGCTTTAACCGTTAATAGTTTTTATTAGTTCATAAATATCAGCTATACTTGGATTTTTTAAAGTTTTGTCCCCCTCCTGCCCCCCACTGGATTGAAGCACTCTTCACTGGGCTGCAATAACAACCTTGAGCAGTTATAGAGCCTTTCATGTCTGAGAAGCGCTTTACTTTTAGATTAGAAAGATTAATCAAAGTTGCTAACGCAAATTAATTACTGCTACAGAGAAAGCATAGTAATTATGCATAGTTTGGCATGGTTCATGATTAGTACATGCCTAGTTTCAGCAATATTTAGTACAATGTGAATTACAGGTAGTTCATTAGTCCCCCAGATTTCGACTTGAGGCAAAGTTTCTCGCTCATATAAAATTCCCTCCCACCTCTTCCTGGGAGAAAACGGGTTTCACTACAGTCTTTGTTTTACCATCTGGAACAAAAAAAAGAAAAAAGAAAAGAAAAAAGAAAGCAAGATGATGCAATCAAATCTGCATGGTGTATCCTCCCACACAATGTACATAACACATTGCCTCTCCACAATGCCAAAACTTCTTTATACCTCCAAGCGTGCTAAAGCGTGTCACATGCAAGCTGATGCATGCTTATGTTCCTTATGCAGTGTTTCATGGTTAAGATATTTTTAAGCAATCTATAACACATCTCCAAAATACTAATCAGAAAAAGAGTTTTTATAAAAAGCCTATTCAAACATTTATTGTCCGTTTTGTCTTACTTCATTAAACAGATGGTGCTTTGAATTCATGTGCAGCTCTAAATACCCAGTTATCCAATAGAATGCTATCTAGGGTTGCATAAATGGTAACACAGAAATAATCTGAGCATCTGTGGTTGCTCACCCTTATGAACATTAGCCTAGGAACATAAGGTCTCTACTTCATTTGCACCTTTTCCATGGAGATGCAGCTTATGATGCCACAGGTTTCCATATACAGCACTCCATCTTTTTTTCATCTTTCACTTATAAATCAGGATAATATGAAATCTACACAACAACTAATCAAGTTTAGTCTTAAGATTGAGATGGAGCCATTTTCTGACCATTAGGCCTGAAGCCAATTCAAAATGCTGAAGCAGATTTCAAGAGATTATAATTATGGACAAAGTGACTAATCTAGCTTTGAAACAACCACTAGCTCTCCAGTAAAAATTAGTCAAAATAGTACTGAGGTACTTCATAAATATTGTGTGTACTTTGTATACTTCCTGCTCCACAAGTACAAAGTCACTTCTCTGAGCCAATGTTGTCTCAATGAACAGATCACATACAATAAAGCTCCTGTTTACAAAACTGAAAAAGTCAGTGCATATTGTCTGTGCGTTGATATGGTCGTTGACAGTATTTGGTTGAATACTACAAATAAATTTCCTAGCAAGTTGTCCATCAACAGCAGCTTCCAGTGAGGCTGGTTAGGATGCAGGTGGCTGAATAAGTCCAACACAGCTATCTATCTAGTGCATTTTTAGGTCTGATAACATGATGCCTATCTTGGTAACCAAGATGGCCATACAGGGGTTGGCAGGTATGATACAGGATCTGTGGGAGACCTGGGCTATACTAAAACGGCAGTTGGAAGCTAGGCAGGATATACAAAGGTGATTTAAAATGGCACTAGTTGCCAATGTTTGGGACTGAGTTTCCTCCCATTTCTGGGCACTCAGCTATCTTGCCCTTTGTAATCATTCAGGCATGGAGTAAGAGGCAACTTAACTGAGCTCTGCCTTTCTTCTTCCCCTGGCAAAATACAGCTGTCTAGCAAGACAGTGCTGCAAACAAAAAAACATTTGCAAATTTTGATCATTAGTAGAGTTTATTTTTCCATACCAAAAATAACTAGAAGTGATTATTGACTCAGAGTAATTTAAGAAAGATGATCTAAACTGTCACATGTGCCAACACAAATGAATTTAAGTTCTGAATGACAATACGTGTCTCCAACATGGAAATGCTTTTTATTAGACATACATTTCTAAACAAGCCATTTTTTTTCTTTTTTTTTTTAAGATGTATTTAAAATCTCGTATCAGAATTTTCAAAATAGGTACCTAAAATTAGTAATTAGTTTTCCAAATGCATATTCAGTCATGTAAATAAGCAGCCAAATTTGCAAAATCCTGTTTTCCTCATTTCCTCTAATTCCTCCTCATTTTCTAAGGAAGAATATTCCACCTCAAGATGACAGTTTACATTGTTTCATGAAACATTGATTTGCTCATCTGTAGTTAGATTCTTGCAGCTCAAAAATCAATTCAAGAAAGAATGCAAATAAAATTTAACTTTTTTAAAAAGAGAAAAAGTTCAAATAATGTCTAGAGTATCAAGTGAGTTCTTTAAATTTAAAATAAGCCAAGAAGAATAACAGAAAGACTATCCCTCTGTTTCACTTTAAGATGGAGTAAAAAAGATACATTTTTTTTGCCCGCAGATTATGTTACAAAGAATTAGAAAAAGGACCAACTCAAAAAAAAAAAAAAAGGCAGGCTTTGCATTTTTTTACTGGGACTGGAGTTTTGACTTCTTTTAGCAGTGGCATTGCTCAGGACTTCCAAGGGCGGGTGTGGTGTTTAAAAATTGATCCACTTCACATTACCTGACATTTAAGTTTCCCAGTACAGGGTATATATTATGGAGGAGAAGGTACCTGGCTTTACGGCTAAATCTTTGTTCTATAAAAGTGATGGATGGTAACAGGGTAACAGAAACAGGGTAAAATGTAAGCTAACCTGACAAGACCAAGAATGGATTAATTGGGAGCTTAACTCTTTACACAGGGTTTTTGTTAGCATTTGTCTCTCCTCCTTACCATTTCTACTTTACTTACATGTGCCTGTTCTTCTGACCAATCCCAATCAGCCAAATTCTGCTTTAAGGATTTATAAGCTCTGAAGAGTAGCTGAATTTTTGTTTAAAGGCAAGATTTTGAATTGTTATTATTGCCTTGCACTGATCTATGCTTCTTAACACCATGAAGAGAGCTACAGTAAGCAATAAAAAAATGAAAGCTGACTGTTCATATTCTTCTCGTGCTTTCTTATCCAAGAATGAAATTTTGGTAAAAGATGAAGTAGATTTTAAAAGCACCTAGACAGGCAATACAAAAGAACTTTTGTCTATCCAGATGAGAAACAAAAAGAAAAGGAAGAAGCAGTGCATATGGGCTGGTACTTAACCGTTTTGGAGCTACTTCTTCAAAGTCTGATAAAAA